ATAACTGATGATAATGCTCTATACCAATTATTATTTTCAATTTGTAACTCTTGCTATGAGAAGATTAGCACTATCCTCGGATGGAGTCTAAATAAAAATTATTATCTTATATTGAGTCTAATTAATAATTTCATTTAAAACTTACCAWCTCTGAATATCCGAAGGCTGAGTCCCGTAATGCAGGAGGGCTCCACGGGGAGTACACAATCCGTTGTGCATCACACTGATCGAAATCGCCAACAAACTCTGGAGTAATGGGTCTTGGGGTAATTGATCTTTGTGGCGGTCTATWAACCCGCTAAAACCCAGATCATGCAAATGTTATAAAATAATTTAAATATAATGTAAAAAAAATATGTGCTTACATATATAAACGTCCTCGCAGGTGAATAAAAAAAATCAGGTTGGGAATCTTCTAGATGTGTTGCTGCAAGAACTCTATTATAGCTATCCTCGCTAAACCACGGCATACTATGCGACGAATCATTCGACATTTAAAAATCGAGTTATACGTAAATCGTGAATAATTTATGAATAATGTAAAAAAATAAAATACTTACGTTTTACGAAAGATGTGATAATCACAAATATTGCTGGTAAATAAAAATCGTATACATGGTTATGTAATAAAAGACTGATAGTAGAATAAGCTAATGAAAAATAATTTTACATGTAAAATGCGTGAAAAGTAAGTCGTCGCTTAACGTTGCGTACTGGCGCTGGGTGTTCGGCAAATGTTGAATGAGACGGTGGTGGTGTAATGAATTGAAATGGTGAGTGTCCTGAAACAATCTGTACAATCTGGTCCATCTTTTACATCACATGATCGTTGGTTATGAATCTCATCTGGTACTTGTAATAGGTCACCAATAGACTGCAAAAAAAAAGAAATAATATTGCTTTTATTTACAAAATGTTTATACAAATTACCTCTGACTGTCTAAGYGTAGTGCAATTATGTACCTACTATTTTTGCATTTGAATATCCGTAATCCGTATATAAAATTGCCTATACTTTGTATACTTTTTTTTTCGCGATTCACGCTCTACACATCATATATAAGCACAAATAATTCTTTTTTTTTAAGGGATGATGACTTTCCATGAGTTTTTCCCTACAAAAGATCGTCGAAAAATTAAAATAAGGGTATGCTTGGTGGTGAGTATTTGGGGAGACTATAAGTAGCCAAGTAGGTACCCTATTTGTTGCGACAGTGCACTAAAATACTACACTGTCTACACTCACGCATACTAATGAATAATGATGTTTTATACACACATTCACAATTCACACCCACGCACGCACATTGCCTACACTGAATTCCTTAACAACGGCGGTATCGAATTYCCTTTAAAGCAAGAGGTGTCTGCTCCATTACTCTTTGTATTTTCTCCATTATTTGGCATACTAATGTTTATAAAATTATTATTTTTTTACCATAGTTATTTAAATTTTAAAGTTTTAAAAATAATAATGATTTAGATTATTAACTTAAATTTTTGAACAAAGTTAATCATTTTCCCAAAGAAATCAATTCAAAAATGTACGTAAAAACGTAGTAAGTTAGTACCCTTTTTTATAGAATCAATATATAAATTTWAAAAATACTGTATTATTCTGTTTGTTAAATCTTAAATAATTAATATCATCAAAATAATTGCAATAGTTAATTTTTAATTAGAAAATAATTGATTGTTATTCGTTGCATGTAACATGTGCAACTACTATAGCATATTGATTTTCTATAGGTAACTATTTATTATGATGAAAACTGAACAATAAAATCGTTAATTAAAGTTTATGAAATAATTATGAGTGTCGAGGTAATAAATTTATTTTTGGGTAAACGTTTTTGTTCAAATTAAACAATAAATTACTACCTATGATATATTGACATTTTAACATTAGGTATTACAATGGTGTATTGTAGAACATGGTTTAAAATACTATTATTACATT